ATTTTTTTGAACATTGGTATAAGAATATTTTAAAATGTGTATAAATATGTATATATAATTTTATACAATTTTATAAAATAAATCTTATACCACTATTTTAAAGTTACTAAAATTTTATTGAACATTGGTATAAGAATTTATTTTATAAAATGTGTAATAAAATTATATATATATATATATATAGACACACACACACACCAAAAACAAAAATATATTATACATTACAAATTGAAATAAATAAATAAATTACACATCAGAAAATTATATAAATATGATGAATTTGTACTGTATAATTTTGTTTATTTAATTTGAATTTGTAGTGTATAATGTGTTTAATTGATTTAGGGTTGACTGTGTAGGTAATTTTTCTTTTTCTTAAAGGAGGCATTTTTGTCCATTCAATATGATTTTAATATTTAACTAACATTTTATTTAGTCACCAACAAAGCTACGGACACCGATTATTTTACACCGAAAATGTGTACTGGCCTACGTGTACGCGTGACTCACACCAACAGTCAGACGCCTGATTTTTTTATAAATACTTTTCTAGTGAATGGCCGTCCATCAAATATGGATGGCCGTTCACTCACATGGACTCCCGTCCATATTATATGGACGGGGGTCCATATGCCATGGATTAGCGTTCCCATTTAAAGGACACCCGTCTATAATTAAATATAATAAAAAAAAATTTATAAACATTAGGGACATTCGTTTATCCGTTATGGACGGCCGTCCTTTTATTTTGGTCAGACGTCCACAAATAGGAGACGCCTGTCCTTAATCAAAATATGAAAATAAAAAAAGAAAAAACTTTGGGGACGACTATCCATTGGGAATGGACGCCAGTTCCTTACGTTTGGACGGGCATCCATACTTTAAAAAAAAAAAAAAAAATCTAAACCTCTTCTTCCCTCTTCTTCTTCTTCCTCTTCATTCCCCATCTCCTCTCTTCTTCCTGTTCAGTGTTATTCTAAGATTAATAATATCTACCACAAAACCATTAAAAACCGTCACTAAATCCCAAAACAGATCCCAAACACAGCAAGAAACAAAACTAAAACCATTTCCTAAGCACACTTATTATATTTAACAGACAAGAAAAATGAAACCACACCCTCTGCAAACGCTTCAAGCAATCTTAACTTCAACGGTCTTCGGCTTAAAGGTTGATGATTACAACTTTTCTAAAACATCAACACAATAAAACTCTGCAAAGAAAAATTCATCAGACAACTACATGTAAAATAATTCAAACAAAGCAAAATGAAAATCTGAACCTCTCTCAAAGCAGCTATGCGAGGCAACACACTTGAATCCATCTTGATGTGATTAACCAACTCTTTTGGAATAGGTGAACTGAAAAATACAAATGCTCTGGAAAAAAGATGACGAGAGCAGTAGAAGAAGAGAAACAACAAAACACAAATTATCAATGGTAAATAATACAGTTAAAATAAGTGGAAGGTCTGAGGGATGCCAATCTCACATACTTCTTGTATAAAGGCTCCCGTCCAGACATGTCAGACAAGAACATTACAACACTGCATGCTAGGAACAGATGTAGTTAAAATGGATCCAAAATCCAAAAAGAGTGCTTCAGATTAAGTGGCATAAAAAATCCAGAAAATTATGGAAAACAGTAAAAATGTAACATAATATATATGAAATTATAAGTTTTAATATAAGTTTTAAGTGGCTTCTTCGGCTCGGGAGGCGGCAACTTCTCCACAGTAACAGTCAAAACTCCATCCTGACAAATTGCCGAAATGGCATCAGTATTCGCATTCTCAGGCAGCACGAACTTCCTCATAAACTTGCCGACTCTCCTTTCCATCCTCACATATTTAGCTCCTTCTTTCTCTTCATCCCGCTTCCTCTCTCCGCTTATCAGCAGCACATGGTCGTCCTCCACCTGCACCTTGATGTCCCCCGACTTAGCATAAATTTTATTAATTCTCTTTGGGAAGAACCTCACATGAATTGAAGTAATGGCCAGATATATCAATCACTTCGAATCTGACCTTATTGCCATTTGATGACTATAGTTGTTGAACAATCTCATATATGTATAATTAAATAAAACAAATATAGATTTATCTCTTGCAAACAACTCCACCGCCGTCGATTCCACTGGCACAATTCAGCTTCGTGTACTCAAAGTAAGTTGCGAAGAATTGCTCAAACCATAACCACTAACGAATCGTGCAGCCCACAATTAGTACTAAAGAGACTTGACGACGAAACTCTTTCACCGCCCAAGACGGGCATATCCCCGCCCATCTTAGCTCTGCTCACGTAATTACTTGCATAACTTTGGCCCAAAACGCCATTAACATCGCCACTCAAGGCGTAAAATGAAGCTCAAGTCGAGATGGGCGAAGCAATTCTCTTGAGTATGCCGTGATTATGTACTTGTGAATCTTTCTGTGTGATTGGAACCATTTTAGCTTTGGTCTTGATGAACAAGTTTCCCACTTCGATCTCTACAACATTCGTGATGTGAGACCCTTGTGATGGTTACGGTTGGAGATTCAGAGGAGTGAGGACTGCCACTGGTTGCCTTCACCGTCAAAGAGGAAAATGGATTCTCATTGAAGGAGAGTGAAAGGCAGTCAATTGAATTGTCCAAATGGACGGTTCCTTAGCCACAATGAAGAGTTTGTGAGTGTCAAAGAGATTGGGCCCAAGTGAAGTCTTCTTCATGTTCTCATTGCGACCAAGAAGTGTGCATTGATGTGTAGGCTAGAATCGGAGGACTAGGCAAAAATCTCGGTCTCTTTTGCCATGGAAGTAGAAGGTGATTCCATCTCACTGATAAATCGGGGGTCACAGCTCCCAATCGGTTGCAATTGCTCACACAGATGAAAATTGAATGATCAATGAGAATAGCAGTTGAAAGACATGAATATATATTATTAAGAGTGAAGCATGCATGAATGAGTAGTCTTCTTTATTTAACATATGTCTTTAGAAATACGAAGAAGGAGAACTTACTGCAAACGGGGCTACATGTGACACAATCAACGTCACATTGTTAGGGCAGGCAATAGGACAAATTAGTTCCACGCCGTAGCAATGAGGATAGTTATTGTTCTCGCAATTAACTGTTTTTGTTGCTGAATTTGATGAAGGCCCATGAGGTGGGTGGCGGTGGGAGTACCAATTAGTAGGAGTGGGATGGCCGGCGGAGAAAGAGGAGGAATGGGAATAGCAGGAGGAGAAGGAGAAGGAGTGGGAATGGCAGGAGGAGAAGTGGGAGTGGTCGGAGGAAAGGTTGGAATGGCCGGAGAAGAAGGAGGAAATGGGGATGGAAAAGGAGTGTAAGTGGTAGGAGGTGGTGAAGGGTAAGTTTTGGGTGAGAGGGGGTGAAGGATAAGTTTTAGGGGGTGGAGGAGGTGAACGCCGTCTCACTTTTAGTGGTGCAGGTGGTGGGGGCGGTAGGTGTGAAACGGGTTGAACGAGACACAATCCACAACGCAAGTTATAGGGCAAGAATCTAGGCAGTAAAGGTTTTGGTGATAACAACTACAATACTTCTTATTTGGCACTTCATTTTCTATGCTTTGGCAGCTCCCTCCACCACCACAAACATCAATAGGAGGAGAAAATCAGAAAATACACACTTAATTGTGCCATAGTTCAGCCACTTAGTCTTAGAGAGCAACTGGTATACACAGTTATTGTGGGATCTTGTTGCTAAGCTCTGACTCGTTGTTAGTGATTTACTTTCCAGTGTGAGCAATATAGCTTGAAATCTAGCATCAATTAATGGTTTTTCGCGGCTTAATGCTTGTTTCTTAAATAAGTATTAAGAATGATCTTCGATCTGGTGCTTTTCAATAAGGACATTTGAAAAGTTATAGTCACTTTTAAAATTCAAATTAGAATAAGAGTTCGTTATTACACAAAATTAAGCCACAACTCTAGTTTTAGGGAGGAGTTAATTCTTTTAGTCCCTATGGTTTCAGGGTACTTTTTCAGGATAATGGTTTCAAATACTACTATTTTAGCCCTTGACTAAATAAAATGTTTTGTGACTATTAAATTTATAAATGGAAAGGACCAAAGTATCCCTATTTTAAAGTTACTAAAATTTTATTGAACATTGGTATAAGAATTTATTTATAAAATGTGTAATAAAATTATGTATATATAATTTTATTACACATTTTATAAATAAATTCTTATACCAATATTTTAAGGCTCACTATGTTGATGAGAATTGGGAGTTACAAAATAGAGTTCTCAATTTTTGCCATATTCCTCCTCCACACTCAGGGGTTCTTTTGTGAGAAACAGTGTATGGTTTCTTAAAAGATCAGGGAATTGAAAAGAAAGTCTTTTCTTTTACTTTGGACAATGTAAGTAATAACGATAAGATGGAAGACATTTTAAAGAGTCAACTTTGTGTGCAAAATGCTTTATTATGTGGTGGTTCTTTTTTTCATGTGCAATGTTGTGCACATATCTTGAATCTCATAGTCCAAGAAGGGCTAAAAGTTAGTAGTGCGGCTTTACATAAAATCTGAGAAAGTGTGAAATATGTTAAAGGAAGTAAGGCTAAAAGAATCAAGTTTGGAGAACTTGCTGCACAAATTAGTGTGATAAGCTCAAAAGGATTGCAAATAGATGTTCCCACAAGATGAAATTCCACTTATTTAATGCTTGAAAGTGCGTTAATATACCGTCTTGTGTTTGTTCATTTGTCATTGATGAATTCCAATTATAAAAATTGTCTTTTAGATGAAGAATGGGACAAAGGCGTGAGGATTTACAAGTTCTTGCAACCATTTTATAAAATCACTACTCTTTTTTCGGGTTCCAAATACCTCGAAGCAAACTTGTACCTTAGAAATGTGTGGAGAGTTCAAGTGCGTTTATACGAAGAGATGGAAAATGAGGATGAAATTGTTAGTACCATGGCAAGTCAAATGAAAGTAAAGTTTGACAAATATTGGGTTTCTTATAGTGTTGTGTTAGCTATTGCAGTAATTTTGGACTCACGTTTCAAGTTTGAGTTTGTTGAGTTTTGTTAAAAAAAAGTTGATGACCCAACAGTTGCAACAAGAAAGTTGGAGTCAGTCAAACAGGAGTTGTATAAGCTTTTTGTTGCTTATGAGGGTCTACATTGCAATGAAGTTCCCGCCAGCCCTTCGGTACAAACTAGTAGTCCTAATATCCTTGGAGATGATATTTGTGTAAGTCAGTACTCCCTATACATTTTTATATTCTTATGATTAATAAGGTTTTGTTTGTTTTGTAATTTTGCTTATTAAATTTCAATATTTAAATGGTGTAGGAATTTGACCACTTCAAGAGTGACTTTAGTGCTACTAAGAAGCTCGAATTGGATACTTATTTGGGAGAGGCAAGGTTTGATCGCATCAAATTTTGCAATATGGATATCCTAGACCATTGGAATAAAAATTGTGATCGATACTCGATAATTTCCATAATGGCCTGTGATATTATGAGTATACCAATAACAACTTTTACCTCGGAGTCCAGTTTCAGTGTTGGCAGCAAAGTGCTCAGTAAATATCGAAGCTCACTTCTACCAAAGAATGCACAGTCTTTGATATGCACTTGGACATGGATTTCTGGATTTAAAGTTAAAGGTAACATGTTAACTTATATTTCACATATTTTAACATTTTAGTTTGTTAATATATTAAGATAATTAACTTATACTTTAAATAGTTTAAATTGTAGAAGACGAAACTGATGATGATTAGCTTCTTATGCCGTTAACCCAAGCAGAGATTAGGGAATCAAGGGCGTCTTCTAACACCGTCATTGTGCAATAGAATTTGTCAATTCGGTTGAACAATTCTATCGCTATTTTTGTTTACTATGAAGTTTGTTTACTATGTATGTTTGGTGAAATTGATGATGAAATTGTGTTGAATGTTGAATATATTAATATGTATGTTGAATGTTGATAATGATGTTTTTGAAGTAATCTATTAATAGGTATGTTGAATGTTGATAATGATGTTTGGTGAAATTTATTCAAGTTTGTGTTTGTGTTTGTCCATTATTTTAATCAAATTAAGCAAGTTTTGAAAGCCTAGTAAAGGAATTTTATACCAAGTTTTCAAATTAATACAATATGTATTTCAAGTTTGAAATTTGAATAACAAAAAGTAGGGAAAATAAAAAATAAATGCAAAATGCTTCATTTTTGCGGGTGACCTATGGGTCGACCCGTACCCGCATGGGCAGGTACAAATCATGCATTTTCGTACCCGTGAAAAAATTACCCGTGGATCCGTACTCGTTTTACTCGTTACTTGTAGCTACCTAGCTTGTATTGCCCGACCCATCCGTTTGCCAGGTCTACCTATCACTATCATTTTCATTCCTAAAACACAATTTTAGATTATTAGATTAAGAATTGAAAAAATGAAAATAATTTTAAAAATATCAGTCACTTAATTATTCTTCTTCAATAACACTCCAATATGAACATAAACGGAGGTTAAGATTTGATCATTTTAAGTATATTAATTTATGGATAAATATGTAATTAAAAATAATAATAAATTGGGCTCTTTTTAGTTCATTAGTTGAGGATAAATAGCTCTGCAAAAGACAATAAATTCAGGAAAAAAGCTAGCTAGCCTTGTCTTTGAAACCACACAAGACAATAAGACTGCAAATCAATCAGTGTCCTTGAAACGTATCATAATTTTATTAATTCTCCTTTGGGAAGAACCTCACATGAATTGAAGTAATGGCCAGATATATTCAATCACTTCGAATCTGACCTTATTGCCATTTTGATGACTATAGTTGTTGAACAATCTCATATATGTATAATTAAATAAAACAAATATAGATTTATCTCTTGCAAACAACTCCACCGCCGTCGATTCCACTGGCACAATTCAGCTTCGTGTACTCAAAGTAAGTTTGCGAAGAATTGCTCAAACCATACCCACTAACGAATCGTGCAGCCGCACAATTAGTACTAAAGAGACTTGACGACGCAAACTCCTTTTCACCGCCCAAGACGGGCATATCCCCGCCCATCTTAGCTCTGCTCACGTAATTACTTGCATAACTTTGGCCCAAAACGCCATTAACATCGCCACTCAAGGCGTAAAACTTGAAGCTCAAGTCGAGATGGGCGAAGCAATTCTCTTGAGTTATGCCGTGATTATGTACTTGTGAATCTTTCTGTGTGATTGGAACCATTTTAGCTTTGGTCTTGATGAACAAGTTTCCCACTTCGATCTCTACAACATTCGTGATGTGTGACCTTGTGATGGTTACGGTTGGAGATTCAGAGGAGTGAGGACTGCCACTGGTTGCCTTCACCGTCAAAGAGGAAAATGGATTCTCCATTGAAGGAGAGTGAAAGGCGGTCAATTGAATTGTCCCAAATGGACGGTTCCTTAGCACCAATGAAGAGTTTGTGAGTGTCAAAGAGATTGGACCCAAGTGAAGTCACTCTTCATGTTCTCATTGCGGCGACCAATGAAGTGTGCATTGATGTGTAGGCTAGAATCGGAGACTAGGCAAAAATCTCGGTCTCTTTTGCCATGGAAGTAGAAGGTGATTCCATCTCCACTGATAAATCGGGGGTCACAGCTCCCAATCGGTTGCAATCTGCTCACACAGATGAAAATTGAATTGATCAATGAGAATATGCAGCTTGAAAGACATGAATATGTATTATTAAGAGTGAATGCATGCATGAATGAGTAGTCTTCTTTATTTAACATATGTCTTTTAGAAATACGAAGAAGGAGAACTTACTGCAAACGGGGCTACATGTGACACAATCAACGTCACATTGTTTAGGGCAGGCAATAGGACAAATTAGTTCCACGCCGTAGCAATGAGGATAGTTATTGTTCTCGCAATTAACTGTTTTTGTTGCTGAATTTGATGAAGGCCCACTTGAGGCGGGTGGCGGTGGAGAGTACCAATTAGTAGGAGTGGGAATGGCCGGCGGAGAAAGAGGAGGAATGGGAATAACAGGAGGAGAAGGAGAAGGAGTGGGAATGGCAGGAGGAGAAGTGGGAGTGGTCGGAGGAGAAGTTGGAATGGCCGGAGAAGAAGGAGGAAATGGGGATGGAAAAGGAGGAGTGTAAGTGGTAGGAGGTGGTGAAGGGTAAGTTTTAGGGGGTGAGAGGTGGTGAAGGATAAATTTTAGGGGGTGGAGGAGGTGAACGCCGTCTCACTTTTAGTGGTGAAGGTGGTGGGGGCGGTAGTGTGGAAACGGGTTGACACGAGACACAATCCACAACGCAAGTTATAGGGCAAGAATCTAGGCAGTAAAGGTTTTGGTGATAACAACTACAATACTTCTTATCTTGGCACTTCATTTTCTTATGCTTTTTGGCAGCTCCCTCCACCACCACAAACGCCATCAATAGGAGGAGAAAATCAGAAAATACACACTTAATTGCGCCATTGTTCAACCACTTAGTCTTAGAGAGCAACTGGATATACACAGTTATTGTGTGGATCTTGTTGCTAAGCTCTGACTCGTTGTATAGTGATTTACTTTTCCATTGTTGAGCAATATAGCTTGAAATCTAGCATCAATTAATGGATTTTCGCGGCTTAACGCTTTGTTTCTTAAATGAGTAAGTATTAAGAATGATCTTCGATCTGGTGCTTTTCAATAAGGACATTTGAAAAGTTATAAGTCAACTTTTAAAATTCAAATTAGAATAAGAGTTCGTTATTACACAAAAATTAAGCCACAACTCTAGTTTTAGGGAGGAGTTAATTCTTTTTAGTCCCTATGGTTTCAGTGTACTTTTTCAGGATAATGGTTTCAAATACTACTATTTTAGCCCTTTGACTAAATAAAATGTTTGTTGACTATTAAATTTATAAATGGAAAGGACCAAAGTATCCCTATTTTAAAGTTACTAAAATTTTATTGAACATTGGTATAAGAATTTATTTTATAAAATGTGTAATAAAATTATGTATATATAATTTTATTACACATTTTATAAAATAAATTCTTATACCAATATTTTAAAGTTACTAAAATTTTATTGAACATTGGTATAAGAATTTATTTTATAAAATGTGTAATAAAATTATATATATATACGCACATACACACACCAAAAACAAAAATATATTATACATTACAAATTGAAATAAATAAATAAATTACACATCAGAAAATTATATAAATATGATGAATTTGTACTGTATAATTTTGTTTATTTAATTTGAATTTGTAGTGTATAATGTGTTTAATTGATTTAGGGTTGACTGTGTAGGTAATTTTTCTTTTTCTTAAAGGAGGCATTTTTGTCCATTCAATATGATTTTAATATTTAACTAACATTTTATTTAGTCACCAACAAAGCTACGGACACCGATTATTTTACACCGAAAATGTGTACTGGCCTACGTGTACGCGTGACTCACACCAACAGTCAGACGCCTGATTTTTTTATAAATACTTTTCTAGTGAATGGCCGTCCATCAAATATGGATGGCCGTTCACTCACATGGACTCCCGTCCATATTATATGGACGGGGGTCCATATGCCATGGATTAGCGTTCCCATTTAAAGGACACCCGTCTATAATTAAATATAATAAAAAAAAATTTATAAACATTAGGGACATTCGTTTATCCGTTATGGACGGCCGTCCTTTTATTTTGGTCAGACGTCCACAAATAGGAGACGCCTGTCCTTAATCAAAATATGAAAATAAAAAAAGAAAAAACTTTGGGGACGACTATCCATTGGGAATGGACGCCAGTTCCTTACGTTTGGACGGGCATCCATACTTTAAAAAAAAAAAAAAAAATCTAAACCTCTTCTTCCCTCTTCTTCTTCTTCCTCTTCATTCCCCATCTCCTCTCTTCTTCCTGTTCAGTGTTATTCTAAGATTAATAATATCTACCACAAAACCATTAAAAACCGTCACTAAATCCCAAAACAGATCCCAAACACAGCAAGAAACAAAACTAAAACCATTTCCTAAGCACACTTATTATATTTAACAGACAAGAAAAATGAAACCACACCCTCTGCAAACGCTTCAAGCAATCTTAACTTCAACGGTCTTCGGCTTAAAGGTTGATGATTACAACTTTTCTAAAACATCAACACAATAAAACTCTGCAAAGAAAAATTCATCAGACAACTACATGTAAAATAATTCAAACAAAGCAAAATGAAAATCTGAACCTCTCTCAAAGCAGCTATGCGAGGCAACACACTTGAATCCATCTTGATGTGATTAACCAACTCTTTTGGAATAGGTGAACTGAAAAATACAAATGCTCTGGAAAAAAGATGACGAGAGCAGTAGAAGAAGAGAAACAACAAAACACAAATTATCAATGGTAAATAATACAGTTAAAATAAGTGGAAGGTCTGAGGGATGCCAATCTCACATACTTCTTGTATAAAGGCTCCCGTCCAGACATGTCAGACAAGAACATTACAACACTGCATGCTAGGAACAGATGTAGTTAAAATGGATCCAAAATCCAAAAAGAGTGCTTCAGATTAAGTGGCATAAAAAATCCAGAAAATTATGGAAAACAGTAAAAATGTAACATAATATATATGAAATTATAAGTTTTAATATAAGTTTTAAGTGGCTTCTTCGGCTCGGGAGGCGGCAACTTCTCCACAGTAACAGTCAAAACTCCATCCTGACAAATTGCCGAAATGGCATCAGTATTCGCATTCTCAGGCAGCACGAACTTCCTCATAAACTTGCCGACTCTCCTTTCCATCCTCACATATTTAGCTCCTTCTTTCTCTTCATCCCGCTCTCCTCCGCGTATAGCAGCACATGGTCGTCCTCCACCTGCACCTTGATGTTCCCCGACTTCAACCCAGGCATGTCGA